GTCCTTCAGTTCCTTTGAGGAAGTCCTGCCGTTGTGACGCTGTCCGCCGCCGCTCCGCCTTCGCCTGTGATTGTGCTTGTCCTTCTCCCGCGGCGCCATGAAGTGTGAGGCCCAGAGCGACCAGGACGCCCTCACGGACATCGTGCTCTACGCGCTGATGGGCGTGAGCGCGGGCGCGGCCAGGGGCATGCCGGACGCCAGTGGGATGCAGACGACGCTGCTGTCCATCCTGCGGGACCTCCTGATGGAGAGCGGCACGCCCCCGCCGCCCTCGCTGGACCGCCTCCTGGCCAGGACGCGCAGGAACCAGCAGCGAAGGGCGCGGCGCCGCCAGCGGGACGCCCTCCGCCAGCAGCAGCAGCAGGCGGGCGGCGCGGCGGGAGGCGCCGGCGGGCCCAGCCGCACCCCGGCGACGCCCGCAGGATGAGAGCCCCGCTCACGCCCCCGCCGGCGGCCCCCCATGCCCCCCTCCCGCAGCAGCTCCCGATGCCAGGCCTTCCGATGCCGCGTTCGGGCGGGGCCCCCCCCCAGCTGCCCCCGGCGCCCTCCCGCACCCGCTGCAGAGCCAGCTGCGCAACAGCAACGTGGAGGGCAACCAGCTGGCGCAGATGCTCGCCCAGAGGAACCTCGCGTCGATGCCGCCGCTCCTGCCGCAGCAGCAGGTCAGTGACGTCACTCGGTCGTTGTTATGCGCGCCGCGGACTTCGAGGCGTCGCGCCCGCGCGCGCGCGCGCGGAGTGCGTGTGGTTAGGGAGACGTGCATGAAGGTGTGTGTGTGTGTGTGTGTGCATGAGTGTATGTGTGTATAATTGTAAGTATATGTGTGTGTGTAGGTGTACATATAGTGTATGGGTTTGTGATTGTGTTTGGGCAAATATGTATGTGTATGTGAGTGTGGGCATGTATGCATGCGTGTATGTGTTTGTAACTGTGTGTAATGTGGGTGTGTGTGTTTATGTATTTACATTTTTATATTCATACACTTATATGTGTGCATACACTGTGTGTGTGTGTGCGTGCGTGTGTGTGTGTGTGTGTGTGTGTGTGTGTGTGTACAGTGATCCTTTTGTACCGCAGGACGCATTCAGAAGCGAGCACTCAGCGTGTCTCGTAACGTAAGGGTCTGCTTGAATATCCTTCGCTGTATTTGCACAGCCAGGTGTAATTCTGTGTAAACTATATAATTTTTCACTCGCGCAGAAAGACAAACGAGCATATTTGCAGATTGCTCTTTATGATGTAATTACCTGAGTACGTTTTCTTTGTATATTGTTTCAGAAATAGGTTTGATGGTTATTATTTAATTTTTTTTTTGTTCATTCTTAATATTCGAATTATTTCTGCACTAGTTTTTATGGTAATGAGTATGATTATGGTAATGATTACGATGGCAATGATGATTATAATGATAGCAATAATAATGTTCATGTTAATAATCATAATGATAGTAATAACAATGATGGTGATGATGATTATGATAATATTAATAATAACATTTAACGATAACAGTAAATATAAGTAATAATGATTATAGTAATTAATGATAAGTGATAATAATGAAAATAATGATAATGATAATCAATGATCCTTATAATAATATTGCTAATAATAATCACAATAATAATGAAATAATAGCAATGATAATCTCAATATTATTAGGAATGATACTAATAGTAGCACGGCCATCATTATTACGGCTATTATCATCGCCATCGTCTATTTATTACATCGATATCCGCCCATCCTCTTATACTGACGATCCCTCTGCCTCCCCAGGGCGCGGCGCCAGTTGCCGGCTCGTCCCAGGAAGGTCGTCGGCGCCCTCGGCAACCCCGCCCCCCTCGCGATCCCTGGTGCCCTACCGACCCCCACTACAGACAGGAGGGTGACAACGAGGAGTGACGCCCTTGGCAACACTGGTGCTGGCTTGTGACGACCTCAGAAGTGGCAACGCTGCTTGCGGATCCGTGGCGTTGGCAGAGCTGTTCGATTATTTTTTTGATCTTTTAAAAAATAGTTTTGTGTTGAATGTGTTTATATGTTTATTGTTATGTATTATATGTAAATATATATAAATAATTATTTTCATTGACGTGTGTCTTTTATTAACATCGTCCACAAGGAAGGTCGTGAATTTGTTTTGTATTACCACATATTTAGGTGAAATTGTGAGGGTGAATGATTTATTTTAATCACTAAACAAGAATGACATGTTTCTCGCCAGATTTCATAATAATTAAAGAATAACACTTTATAACACTTACATGGGGTGTATGTATTTAATTTTGTATTTGGAATAAGTACCAAAGAGATTTTTCTTTCTTTCGTATTACTTTCACCCTCACTGTTATTTACTCTTAACTCACTCTTCCTTGTCCATCCTTCATACCCTGTTTATTCCGTCTTTTCTCCTGCCCTTCTGCCTCCTTCCCTCATCCTTTTACCTCCATCTATTACTCGTCCTCCACCTTACACCCTGCACCTGTCACCTTGCACCCTTTACACCCTAAACCCTCTACTCAACATCCTAATCCCTTTACTCTACACTCAAACCCTTTCGTCTACACCCTAATCCTTTAGTCTACACCCAAACCATTAGTCTACACCCAAACCCTTTCGTCTACACCCAAACCCTTTCGTCTACACCCAAACCCTTTCGTCTACACCCAAACCCTTTAGTCTACACCTACACCTTTACTCAACACCCTAATCCCTTTATTCTACACCTACACCCTTTAGTCTACACCCAAACCATTTAGTCTACACCCAAACCATTTAGTCTACACCCAAACCCTTTCGTCTACACCCTAATCCTTTAGTCTACACTCCAAACCCTTTAGTCTACACCCAAACCTTTAGTCTACACCCAAACCCTTTAGTCTACACCCAAACCCTTTAGTCTACACCCAAACCCTTTAGTCTACACCCAAACCCATTGTCTATCTAACACCCAAACTCTTTAAGTCTACACCCAAACCCTTTAGTCTACACCTACACCTTTACTCAACATCCTAATCCCTTTACTATACACCTACAACCTTTACTCTACATCCAAACCCTTTAGTCTACACCCAAACCCTTTAGTCTACACCCAAACCTTTAGTCTACACCTACACCTTTACTCAACACCCCTAATCCCTTTAACTTGCACCCAAACCCTTTAGTCTACACCAAACCCTTTACTCTGCACCCAAACCCTTTAGTCTACACACCAAACCATTTAGTCTACACCCCAAACCCTTTAGTCTACACTCAAACCCTTTAGTCTACACCAAACCCTTTAGTCTCACTCATACCCTTTAGTCTCACCCAAACTCTTTAGTCTACACCCAAACCATTAGTCTACACCCAAACCCTTTCGTCAACACCCAAACCCTTTAGTCTACACCTACACCTTTACTCAACACCCTAATCCCTTTACTCTATCACCTACAACCTTCGTCTACACCCAAACCCTTTCGTCTACACCCAAACCCTTTACTCTACACCCAAACCCTTTAGTCTACACCCAAACCCTTTAGTCTACACCCTGCACCATGTACTCTTCACCCTACACCCTTTATCCCCTCACACTCACCGACGAGGCCTGGACGCGCTGCAGGACCCCCGTGGCGCGTGGACTCGGCCGGACGAGGGTGTCCCACAAGGCGGTCGCTTGGTCTCTCCGCAGTTCCCCGAGTTGGTAGTTGTAGGTCGCCAGCCACCTCTTCAGTCCCTTTTCCTCGCATTTCTTCTCTTTTGTGTCGTGTGGTGTTTGGGGGGAGGGGTCTATGGAGGGTGTTTCTTTTATAGGGGGAGGGAAGATGGGGAGGAAGGGAGGATGGGAGGGAAGGCGTAGGGGGGGGGGGGATGGAGGAAGGAGAGGTCGATGTTTTGGCGGGAAAAAAGTACGGACCAGAATTAGCGATTCATTTTTTTGCATTTTATAGCTAAATGTTTGCAAAAGAGGAAATTGAAACATGCAAAAACAGGGGAAAATAAAGCATCCTGAGCAAACGTACATCATTCTTACAATTAATGGAAGAAATATATAGTTATTTCGTATAAACTAACCTTCATCCAGTTCACATCCGAGAGGAATGGATCGAAACAAAGTTCCAGCAGCAATGTCTTCGTTCTCCGTGTCAGTTACAGCACGGACAGCGGAGGCACCGGAGTCTGGGTGCCACAGTGCCCAGGAGTGGCCACTAACGGCCCCGCCCACGAGATCACACTTGCAGGTCATAGTCCGTTAAGAGAGATAGAAACGTCCGTAGGATGACGAAAGACCTTAGTGTCCTTAGGCTATTGATTTCGTTTGCGTTAGATCCGCAGCTTATTTGTAGCTTTGGAATATTTTAGAGCTTTATTTTCCAAAGCTGAGTGTCTGTCTGTTCTTCGTCTGTAAATGATATCTGTTCTTGCTCTGTAATCGTATACCTATCTGCATATGTCTAAGCTTTATATATTCTATCAAGCACAGACGCGCACGCACACACACATAATCGTCACACGAGTAAGTGCATACATATAATAAATGTATAAGAGAATGAACAATTTTCACAGTACAAGAGACGCGTTTCAACCCGTTTAGTTTATATTTCTCTCATCATGAATCCAAAAATGGTTAAGCATCTTTTCCAACTCGAGAAAGATATTCCTTTTCATTCAAACATTTTCTATATTTGTCGCTGTGAACACTATGATTTTATGTGGATATAATTTAATTCCCAATAGAATATTTTTGTTTGTCTCGTCTACTCCATCTCTCTGTCTGTCTGTCCCTATCATCTCTCTCTCTCTTTCTCTTCTCGCTCTCTCTCTCTCTCTCTCTCTCTCTCTCTCTCTCTCCCTCTCTCTCCTCTCCTCTCTCCTTCTCTCTTCTCTCTTTCTCTCTCTTCTCTTTCTCTCTCTCTCTCTCTCTCTCTCCTCTCTCTCCTCTCTCCTCTCTCTCTCTCTCTCTCTCGCTCTCTCTCTCTCTCTCTCTCTCTCTCTCTCTCCTCCTCTCTCTCTCTCTTTCT